AAAGTTAACAGGAAGGTAACAGAATGGGAAAAAGTATTTGCAGTATTTAAAACAAACAAGGAATTATGTCTAGAGTAACATACAATTCCTATAAGCCAACAAGACAGGAAATCAGAACAGAAAAAAATGAGCAAAGGATATAGATACTGGGATATAGATTTGCGGTGTTTAAACAAAGGATTAATGTCTAGAAAATTTCTACAAATCAAAAAGGGAGGAAATCAAACAGAAAAAATAGACAAGGATAATAATCTTAGTTTCACATACTACAAAGTCTATGGAATTTCATATACAAAAAGTCATAAGAAAACTCTCATTAAAAAGGCTCAAGCTTAATTATAATCAGAGAAATGCAAATCAAAACAACCAAAAACTGCTACTTTTGCATCCATCAAATTAGCAAAAATTAGAAAGATAGATAATGTCAAAGATTCCTGAAGATGTGAATATACATTTCTGTTCACTAGTGAAATAATGTGAATAATCCAGTCATTCTGAAGAGAAAGCTGACAATATTTGTCAAAACTGAGCATGCCCATAGACATATGAATCAGAGGAACAGTCACATTAATTTATGAATTTGTTTATTTTAGCATTTGTATGGTAAGAGAGAGTTAAAGGCAATCTATGTCCCTATTATCTAGTAATTTCGTAAGAAAAATACAGAAGCTGCACAGTGGTTATGTGCTGGGATGCTGGAGCTAGATAGAGAGCCTGAGTTGAAGTCAAGCTCTACTACTTATTCTGACTTTAAACAATGGAAGTAGAAAATCTTAGTACCCACTTCTCTGTGCCCCACTCTCATCTATAAAATGGTAGTAGCAATAATTACCTGTTGCGAGAACTATGGGTTAAAATATTTAAGCCCCTGCCACAGTTAAGTACTATTTTAAGTGCTAAAATTTCTGTTACTATAAAAGCATGCACAAGTAGGAAGTTATGCTTACATACAGTACAGTAATATGATAATATCACAAAAGCAGCATTCACTTAAAACAGAACAGGAATATTTATGACATGATGGTCACTTCTGTGAATTGAACATAGACATTTAACTCTCTGTATCTTAGAAGCTATGCATTTCAGAAACACATGGGACATAGCAGGATGAGTGTCTACAGAAGTAAGAGTCAAGTTTAAAAGTAAGGAGAAAGACTGTACAAGAAAGGGGTCTTTCCTGAATCATGTCATATTCTGTAAAAAGAGGAACAGGATTTACTCATTTATGCAATCTGCAAGTGGGGAAAAGTTATTTTGAAGACACGCAGGGGAAAACCAAGAAATCCAGAACCAGAGAAATAACCAGTTAAACAGGTTGGAAATCACCCTATCTTAGAAGTTACCGTTAGGTGGAATAATACCATCCTTATGGTTTAAGGGAGATTTGAAGAGATTTTTTGTTATTTGCAGTCCAACGCATCCTAATAAAATATTCATATAATGTTTTTTAGGTACAAACTGAGGCCCAAAGAGAATTATGATCCATCCAATGACACTTAGCTGGGGTGCTATCTATGTGGAGGTCCCAGAAGAAAATGAAAAATTTGAGTAACCTAGATTTTCAGCAAGTCAAAATCTGCAATGTATTAAAAACTCTACAGGTATTAAAATGATCAATATTTATCTTGCTAAGAACTGTTAACTTTAAAAAAATCCATTAGAAGTCAAATGAGCAGCTCTCCTGCCTGCCTGTGACTACGAGGGTGCTTCTTTTTTCTTTCTCCTTTCCCTAATAAATCTATCTTTTTAAAATGTAAAAATAAAGTCAATGAATAAATGGGGAAATTGTAAAAAGCTCATAGCAAATTAACAAAAAGATGAACAAAGGGAATTCACATGATTTCTAATAAAATTTTTTAAAGATTCTTTTTTTATTGAGGTATAATTAACATATTAGCTTTCGGTGTACAACATAAAGATTCAGTATTTGTATATATTGGAAAGGACCACCACTATAAATCCAATTAATATCCATTCCCATACATAACTACCTGTTTCTGCTTGTGATAAGGACCTTGAAAATCTAATTAAAAAAAAAAAAAGATTTATTTGGGCCCTCCCTGGTGGCACAACCAGTTAAAGCACAGTACTGTCACTGCAACACAAGTTCGATCCCCAGCCCCAGAGGTGACCCCCTCCTGACCCACCCGCTGCTCCCCTCAGCAGTGTCTTTCGTCAGTCTGCCTGTTCTGCTCCCCATGTTGTCTCTGGTGGATCCTTCACTCCCTGCATCTCTAGTCTATAACCCAGTTCTTGCATGGGGTGGGAGGATGAAAAGATTAACCAGAGACAGAGTGGGAAGCAGAACAGGCAGATTCACTGAAGTAAACTACTAAGGAGAGTAGTGGGCGAGACAGTGATGTCTGCTGTGCCACATGTCAGTCAGCTCTCTGGCTGGGGGTCAAACTCAGGCTGTAGTGGTAACAGCGCTGAGGCGTAACACCTAAGCCATAAGGGAAGCCCTGAAGATCTCTTGTAGCACATTTCTAATACGCCTTACAGTATCAACTAGTCCTTATGCCATAAATTATAGTCCAAGGCTTATCTTTTTTTAAAAAAAAATAATGTAATGGTTTATTTTTACATCACTTTATGCCTTGTTCCATCTCAGTTGTAATCCCTGTATGCTTCCCACCACCAATTCACCCGTGTGCCATCACCATAGTTCAGTGTACCTCCCCCTCCCCCATTTTTGATGCCATTTCCCACTCCACCCCCATAAAATGTCCCTGGTCTTTTATACTCCAGCTATGAGTGAAACCATTTTTCCTTTTGTTTCTGGCTTATTTTGCTAAGCATGATCCCTTCTAACTCTATCCATCTTGCTGCAAAAGGCATGTGTTTATCTTTTTTGATTGCTCAGTAATATTCCATTGTGTATATATCCTTTTTGATTGCTCAGTAATATTCCATTGTGTATATGTACATCTTTTAATCCAGTCATCTACTTTTGGGCATTTGGGTTGATTCCATGAAAGACTTATCTTTTTAAAGACTTATTTATAACTGTAAATTTGACCCTTTTGAGCAGCTTCCCCCACATTACCCAGCTCCTACCAATATTTGGCAAACACCAATCTGTTCTTCTATGAGTTTGTTTCTTTTTTGTCTTTAGACTCCACATTTAAATGAGATTACATACTTGTCTGACTTATTTCATTAGCATAAGGCCCTCAAGTTCTATCCATGAAAATAAAAAACTTAATCCTCACTGATGAATATTTTCAGAAAACCAGTCATCATTCATCATCAAATGGGAAAACAAATTTTCATGGTTACACCCAGTTTTGGCAATAGTGTTAGAAAACTCATTAACAGCTAGTAGGAGTGGAAACTGGAACATACCTGGAAGGCATCTGACAAGGCATGGCAGAGTCTTAAAATAGTACATACTCTGTCTCAGGAGTTCCCTCGAATTCATCCTTAAGAATAATCGTAGGGGGCCCTCCCTGGTGGCGCAGTGGGTTAAAACACTGCACTGAGAAGCTAAAGCCACTCCCCGCCTGCCTTGGAAGTGACCACATGGTGTGGCAGACCTCTCCTGACCCGCCCACTGCTCCCCTTGTCCATCTGCCTGTTCTGTTCCCCACTCTGTCTCTGGTGAAGCCTCCCGCCACCCCTGAGCCTCTGGCCTGTACCCCAGCTCTGTATGTACAAATAAATAAATTAAAAAAAAAAAAAGAATAACCATAGGGACTCCCTGGCTAAAGTCTCAGCACTATCAAACTATCACCAGCTGCTGCAGCATAAGTTTGACCCCTGCGCAGGGAGCTGACCCACAGGGTGCAGTAGACCTCTCCTTTCTGGCCCACTGCTCCCCTCTGCAGTATATTTCAGTAGATCTGCCTTCTTTGCTCCCCACTCTGTCTAGTGAATCCTTTCACTATCTGCACCTCTTACATCCCAGTTCCTGTATAAGAGCTTTATGTAAGCAAGAAATTGGGATCAAACTAAAAATCTAGAAGTAGGAGAATCAATAAAGTTATGGAAAATCCATATAACAGAATAGCAATTATAATTGTCAATATTTAAATAATAGCTCAGTTAATTAGTACCTCTATAGCCCAGAGAAAGCTAATTAATCTCTCTACACCTCAGTTTTCCTGGTCATAAAATGGTTCTACTGTGAGGGTTAAATTAACACACCTGAAGGATGTAGGGTAGCACTGGCACACAATAGGAAATCAATAAGTTGGCTTTTTGAACATTTTTTAAAGATTTACTTATTTATGCATACAAGAGCTGGGGTGTAGGCCAGAGGTGTAGGAATGTGATAGGATTCACCAGAAACAGAGTGGGAAGCAGAATAGGTAGACTGACTGAAATACACTGCTGAGGGGAGCAGCATGCAAGACAGGAGAGGTGGCTGCATCCTGTGGGTCAGCTTCCTGGCCGAGAATTGAGCTCACACTGCAGTGGAAGTTAATGGTTATATAGTGCTGAGACTTAACACCTGTGCCAACGGGGAGGCCCCTGTTGTATTTTGTACAGAACACTGTAGCATAATTTCCTGGAAAGATATTAATAAGTTAAAAAAGGAGGTTATATAGTTTTTATGAAACATTATATAGTTTTTATGAAACAAATATACCTCATAAAATTTACAAAAATAAACTAGAAGGATGTATACCCAAATAGGAATAGCTCCTTTCTTTGAATAATAGGATTACAAGTATTTTTCTTAATGTCTATATTTTTTAATTTTTCAACAACATGCTTGCGTTTATGAAAGGTAAAAACTACCATCTCACTAAAATGAAGACTAAAACCTAGTGCCTGCTGTTATTTTTTTCCCCTTCAACTGGTAAAGAACCCAGTTGAAATAGTTTCTTGCCAAATAAGCCGGATAATGGAGTAAAGACTCCAAATAAGCCAAGTATAAAAGATCTGCTTTTTAGATCTTTTATAACCATACAGTAGAAGCTCATAATCTCTATACCACAAACCTTATATATAAATGGCGAAATGAGACTTTTCTTTTCAAAAGCTCATTTATTTCAGCTTCCTCTCTTAATACAGAGGGATTACACAGATTCCTTTTGTTATCCCAAGTCTTTCATTTGAAAAGTTGTCATAAAAATGAACTTGTCCCAAGAAGAAAACAGTACAAAGAACCATCTAAGTCTTCATTGTCCTACAATGAGGGGAAGACTGCCTGGTTGGGGCATTTATAAAGACTTCTTTATTTTAACAGATGAGGACAGGCCCTAATGACAGACATTCTTAGTCACATGAGCCTTTTGGGGTCTATTTTCTCTAAGTGTACCAGGGGCTTCAGCTGCTCAGCGAAGTTCCTCATGTCATCAGAGACCATGTCCTGCCCAGCTGGTGCAACAACACTTAGTTCCACAAGGTAGGAGAGTGACAAAGCCTCAATGCTGTCTGTGTTTCCAGGCACCAAAATGCGGAAGATCTTATACACCATAATCTTCATGATGCCCTTACGGAACAAGTGTCCCTTGGCAAGAAACTCATGGTCCATGCGGAAACCCATTTCCATTAGGAAGTCAGTGAGATTCTCAGATGTTGCAATGTCCACACAGTTTCGCACCAGGGCATGGCGGTTCTTGTCTCCCATTTCTGGCTGTCCTAGGTAGCGCAGATGCCACGGTGCCCCTGCCCTATCCATAGAGCGCCGGGCCCTTAGAACAAATGGGCTGGCCTGCTGGCCCTTAAGAAGAAAGACCATCTCATGGTCAAGGAAAGTCTCAGGTTCCATGTTGTCACACAAACCACGAAGGCGGTGGGTGAGGCTTTCCAGGCTGTGATCTAAAACACTTCCTGAACAAAGAAAAACACACCATCTTTCATACTGGGTAACAGAATTAGCAAAAAACGTAAAACAAAAATAAAACAGTTTAGTGCAGACCTAATATGTGAGCTTTTAGAAGCTGCAGACTGCCAACTCAACCACACTGACTGTACATTTCAAAATATTTAAGGTAAGTTTAATACTATGTGCTTTTAACCATGATTTAATTAAAAAGCTGATGTCTATTGGGCACTAGAAACTATGCAGAATGCCTCTGTGTAACAGGCTCACCACCACAGAAACTTAACAGGAAGTAGAAACCAGTTATTCCGAGTTCCCCGGCTCACTTACCCTGCAGCATGTACTCCATCATGTTAATAGTGCCGCCGGTGACGGGCATCATGGTGACTGGAGGTGCCTCCATGATGTCTGACTTCGTTGAAGACAAGAGAACTGGACTGAGAGCAAGCAAAGCACAGGATACACCTGGTGAAGAGTTACACTTGTTAATACATCAGAGCGGTGGGAAGACACCAGTTCTGCTTGTGTCACTTGGGCTTGACATCAAGATTCATCTAATCATTCAAAATCTGAATGGCTACCAAATAGCTACTGTCAGGAAATCATACAGAAATATAAATGGAGACTCGGCTATGGAGTTACAGCATAATTTCAGTGTAAGAGGCTGAAAACTCTAATAGTTTTCTGTGCAATCGTGAAATCGTCAAACCTGCCACTCTGGGATTCTGTCTCTCCCTTAATAAATGGGACCGAGGACATTTAACCCCCAACACTTTGTAATTCATATGACAAACTTTACATATAAGATTCATTAGAATTGATGGGTAATATAATTAACAGATGAGGATATTGAAGCTCGGAGAGCAGCCCACGAAAAGACATCAAGTCAGTGGCAGAGCCTGGACCAGGGTAGAATTGAGTTCCAGCTCTCTGAAAACGCCTTTTAAGTAGACACAGGCAGAAGCGTGTTCTAAGGATGGTTTGGGTCTTCCTAAACCGGCAGAGGACACATGCTAATTTAGTAAGGAAACACACCTACACACCCGCTTCAGCCTCTTCTCGAAAATCGAGGAATCACAAAAGCCACTCGGCACTTTTGAGCCACAATCAGCCTCCAACCGTTGCTAAAATCCCCTTGGTAGTGCAACCACACTTCCTCCTTCTGACAGTGCCAGTCAGAAGAGGTGGTCGCACAAAACTCGACAACGCGGCGCCACGAAGGGTACCGAGAAGGCACAAACCTCTCCTTTGTGATCGGGCAAACAGCGGCGCATGCGCAACACGCGACGCTGCGGTCTGGAAGATGGCGGCCTCCTTTGGCGCCTTCCCCTGGGCGTGGCTAAGCGCCTTGACGTCATAGGCCGACCTCCAGAAAAAATGTTTTCAAGTAGGGCAACCTGGAAATTTATTCTGTGTGGGAGATAAGTTTTAACTAACCGGGAGACTAAAGCCTGGGGAAGGGAGCTGCAGAAGAAAGACAAGGAAACTGTATAAAACAGGTTTCTTTTCTTTGACTACCTGAAGGAAAGACACCCTCTACTGTTGAGCACAATGTTCAAAAAAATTCTGGAGCTCAGCAATACATCTAACATTTGTTCGTTTTACTATACATATTGTACTTAAGTGTTAAATATAGGTTGATAAGTGAATTCAAGTAGGGAAAAACACTGTAACGAAGATCAATACTATTTTAATGCAATATTTGACAAAATTAATACCAAAATTCTGTAATGGACACAATGTCAAAATTTTACATTTGACCATCACCTCAGTCCAATGAGGCAAGTACAATTATTATTATAATTTTACAGATGGGGAAATCAGATGGTGATGTTAAATAACCTGCAGGGACTAGAGGCTGGCATGCAAATAAAAGCCTCTGACTTCAGCTCCCCACCCTTTTACTCACACCACTTCCCCTTCATTCATATTTTTTACAATTCACTTTTCTTGAAAGTGTATTGTGTTCTAGAAATTCTGTCCTGCTGACTCCATCTTTCTCCTGAGAGAGCTTAAGGGGCCCTCTGTGGTGGCCTAGTGGTTAAGTCTCAGCACTATCATTAGTACTATCTGAGTGTGATTCCCATCCAGGGAGTTAACCCAACTGATGCAGCAGATCTCTAATGTTTTACCTGCTGTAACAGTGTATTTCTTTTTTCTTCTTTTCAAGAAGAACTGGGGTACAGGCAAGAGGTGTGGGGGTGGTGGTGAGAAGATTCACCAGAGACAGAATAGGGAAGAGAACAGGAAGACTGACTGAAATACACTGCTGAGGGGAGCAGCAGGCAAGACAAGAGGTCTGCTGTGCCATGTGGGTCACCTCCCTGTCCAGGGAGCAAACTCCTGCTGCAGTGGCTGTGAATATCTTCATAGTGCTGTGCTTTAATCACTTGTGCCACCAGGGAGGGCTCCAGCAGTATATTTCATTAGATTTGCCTGTTCTGCTCCCTGGTGAATCCTCTCATCATCCCTTCCCCATCCTGGACGCCTCCTGGTACCTCTGGCCTGCACCCCAGTTCTACACAAAAACAAATAAACTCTTAAAAAATGCATTTAAAAAGCACACACACACACACAAAGCATGTTTTGTTTTGTTTTTAAAGAGAACTTTCAGGCAAGTAGTAGGAATCAGAGTTGAATTAAGGAGACTGTAGCATGTAATTTGACTCTATAGGAAAATGTGATATATACAACTTGCCTGTTTGGAATCAAACAGGACTCTTGACACATCAAAGAATGACTCCTGGAAATGATAATGCCCAAAGTCAGTAAGTGTTGGCCAGATAAAGAAGACCAGTTAGGGATATTTACATAGCTCCAACTGAGAAATACTTGTGAGAGTAAGGACAGATTTAAAAAATATAAAAGAATAGCTTGATGACTAACCAAAAAGAGACAGAGAAACAAGAATGTCTAGATTTCTACCTTTGGTGTCCATGACTACTGTTCTCTGAGCTGGGAAACACACAAAGCAATATGCACAAGAGAGGAAAAATGAGTTGATATTGAGACACATTGAGGCAGTACCCAGTCAACTTCAGAGGAGAGAGCTGGACTGGAGGTAGAGAGTTTGGAGTCAGCCCTTCATAGATGGTAGCTGAAGCCCTGTCATTAAAGAGGAAGAAAATCAGACCTTGACTAGAACCCTCACTCTTATTAAAGCTGCAGATAGCCCAAGGCTTAGATGTGCCTCCTAGTCTGCCTAGTATTTCATAATATTTGGCAGAGTGACAAATTCAGTACTGTGATGATTAAAGGAGATTTTTTAATTGCTGTACCTCTCTTTTCCTATATAGACAATAACTTCAGAATGGAAAGCCCACTTAGTCATCATAGTATTTGCCCAAATTATATTTTTTAAATATTTATTTATTTATGCATACAAGAACTGGGGTATAGGCTAGAGGTGCAGGGGTGAGAGGATTCACCAGAGACAGAGTGGGGACCAGAGACATATGGGGAGCAAAACACTGCTGAGGGGAGCAGCAGGTGAGATAGGAGAGGGCTGCTGTGCCATGTGAATCACCTCCCTGGCCAGGGATCAAACTCATGCTGTAGACAGCTTCATAGTGCTGCACTTTAATCCATTGTGCCACCAGGGAGTGGGCTCAAATTCTTTTTTTTTTTTTAAAGATTTATTTTATTTGTACATACAGAACTGGGGTACAGGCCAGAGGCTCAGGGGCGGTGAGAGGCTTCACCAGAGACAGAGTGGGGAGCAGAACAGGCAGATCGACGAAGTACACTGCTGAGGGGAGCAGTGGGCGGTCAGGAGAGGTCTGCCACGCCATGTGGTCACCTCTGGGGCAGGCGGAATCGAACTCATGCAGAAGTGGCTTTAGCTTCTCAGTGCAGTGCTTTAACCCACTGCGCCACCAGGGAGGGCCTCAAATTCTTTTTTTTTTTTTTAAAGATTTATTTATTTATGCATACAGAACTAGGGTACAGCCCAGAGGTGCAGGGACGGTGAGAGGATTCACCAGAGACAGAGTGGGGAGCAGAACAGGTAGATTGACAAAGTACATTGCTAAGGGGAGCAGCAGATGGGTCAGGAGAGGTCTGCCTCGCCATGTGGGACACCTCCAGGGTGGGATTGAACTCATGGAATGGCTGCTTCTAGTGTCATAGTGCTGTGCTTGAACCTGTTGCGTCTGAACTCCAGTCCATCCTCAAAATATTCAGTGTAGGGTTATAAAAAAAAAAAAAAAAAAAAAAGGATTGACGGAAAATGGGCGAGCAATATGGTAAAACTTGGAAAAGCCTAGACACTATAAGGATGGGTTTCTCTGATAAGAAAATGAGGCCTAGAGCTTAGAATAGGACTAATTTCTGTCCTCTCCATTATCCAGCTATGTAACCTTGGGCAATTCACTTCCTTAATAAAAAAACAAAACAAAAAATGGAGATTCTACCAGTACTTTCTAAGAGGGAGGTTGCAAAAAGAAAATAAGATGTTTTTGAAATAGCATGGTGCCTCCTTTATAAACAATAAATGATAGCTGTTATTATTACAATAGTTTATAACTCTCATTCAAGCAAGTACATTCTGTTTTATTGAATATACTTTGTGCACATCTCATCTCCCTCTATAGATTATAAGCATCTTGAAGGGAGAAATCATGTATTTTCTTTATATGTGTTTGTGTGTCTTAGCTCAGGCTGATAAAACAAAATTCATGTGGGTCATCTCCGTGGCCAAGGATCGAACTCGGTCTCAAGGGGCTGCAGCTAGCTTCACAGTGCTGTGCTTTAACGGGTTGCACCACCAAGGAGGGCCCAGTTCTGACTTCTTGTCTCTTCACATGGTGAAGAGCAGAGCAAAGCAAACTCTCAGGACTCTTAAAAGAGGACTAATCCCATTCATGGGTTACCTCTCATGGCCTCATCTAATCCTACTTACCTCCCAAAGGCCACCCTTGCAACATTATCTCGTAGAGAATAAGGTTTCAACATCAGTATTTTAAGGTGATAACCTCAGTGCTTTACAGGTAGTAGGAATTCTTACATGCAAAGTTAGGCTCTCAGCCTTCCTGTTACAAAAGCTAGTATTTCCCCAGAAATGAGCTGATCATTATTTCTCTCTGGAGGTGCAGGTCTTAAAGACAGCACTATCAAGCTATCACCAGCTACTGCAGCACCAGTTGGATTTCCAGCAGGGAGCTGTCCCACATGGTGCGGCAGACCTCTCCTGTCTCACCCACTGCTCCCCTCAGCAGTGTATTTCAGTAGATCTGTCTGCTCTACTCTCCACTCTGTCTCTGGTGAATCCTTTCTCCCAGACCTTTCCCTGCACCTCTGGCCTACACCACCGTCCATGTATGCATAGATAAGCAAATCTTTAAAAAAAAACCGTAACCATTGCTTTTCAATTTAATTATTCCAGCAACCTCATCAGTTTATGTCATTCCAGTAAAGGCCAGTTTTTCTCATGCCTACTTGATCTGCCCAGCACTTGTCACCTCTCTGATTGCATTCCCATCCTCTCCCTCTGTTCCAGCCCTGCCTCATCAGTCAACTCCAGCCACACTGTTCTCATCTGAACATGTCAATGATACATCCATCTGAACTCGTTGGTAGTTATTAGCATTCGACCTGAAACTCTGCTTTTCAACTGAGCAGGGTGCACTCGCTGCCTTCCTTCTGGTCTTTGCTCAAATTTTTATTTGCAAAGCCTTCCCTGAACATCCATTTAAAATTGCAATCCACTATCTGTCCTGCCCCACCCACTGCCTTTTTTTTTTTTTTTTTTTTTTGGCTATAGGACATTTCACTAGGTAACACACTACTTGTTTAACTATTTATCTTTTTTCCTTCATTATTACCTAAAAAGCCATAAAAGCAGGAAATTTCCTTTATTCAGTCTCCACAGTTCCTGGAATGCCAACTGACATGGTGTAGGCTTTTATAAATTCTGTTTTTATTGAAAGAATGATCGATAGAGAACAGAGGGTGGTAGAGGGCTATCACATGAGTGGCAATTAACCACTTTAGATGTGGCTGGTTTAAATTGAGATAGTCTACGAATATAAGATGCACTCTGAATTTTGAAGACTTACTACCAAAAAAAAAGTATATGAAGTATCTCCATCTTTTAATTGATTACATGTTGAAATGATATTTTAAGTTCAGTAAAATATATTATTAAAGTGAATTTCACCATTTTCTCTTTACTTTTCTAATGTGGCTACTAGAACATTTTGAATTACATACTCATGTTATAT